TCATGCCCAGTATAGAAAGCGAGGGGTGTTACCCAGAAGGCCCAGATCGTTGCTCGGGTCAGACTGGGTATCGAACAACAGGTGGTGAGCAATTGTATTCTCTTCCCTTGTTATTTCCCTTATCATTATTATTAATGGTGGTAGCAGTAGTGGGATTGTGTTATACCTTAGTTATGGACTGCTTTTATCTCAACTCGTGGGAGTTACATTCTTCCCATTCTCTTCCCCATCCCTCCTGGAGCATGGGGGAAGAAGAGGGAGGGGGTGAGCGAGCAGCTGCATGGTTCTGATTTACTGGCTGGGCTTTAACCACAGAACAGTCGTATTAGTAGAGAACAACAAAGGAGTCTTCTATTAGCTAAAGAAAGGTCTCTTCACATAGCATCAACAGTTTATAAAAGCCCTTAAATGGCCCTGTGATGTCGTATAGTACCAAGAGTTAGCAGACACAGACATGTCATTCAGATGCATGTTTTCACACTCTCCTTTAATATCTTCCTATGTGTTACTTAAAATGATGTACTGTATACCTTTCTGTGAGATTATATAACATATGGTGGTTGTGTGTTATTGAGTGAGGGTAAGTAGGAAATACAAGAAGCACCTTTTTTTTCAGGGTCTGAAATGTTAGAAGTCATTGTATCGACCATTGCAGGAAGAACGGGTAGTGTTAACAACAGTGTTTGGTCTTTACCCATTGACTGAAGTTACTAGAGCAAGAATAACACAGAATCATAGAATGGTTAAATTGTGAAGATCATCCAGTTCCAACCACCTGCCATGAGAAGGAACATCTTTCACTAGACCAGGTTGCTCCAAGCCCCATCCAACCTGGCCTTGAACACTGCCAAGGATGGGGCAGCCACAGCTTCTCTGGGCACCCTGTGCCAGTGCCTCAGCACCCTCATAGTAAAGAACTTCTTGCTTATATCTCACCTGAACTTCCCCTGTTTCAGTTTGCACCCATCACCCCTTGTCCTACTGCTACAGTCCCTAATGAAGAGTCCCTCTCCAGCATCCTTGTAGCCCCTTTCAGACACTGGAAGCTGTTCTGAGGTCTCCACGCAGCTTCTCTTCTCTAGTCTGGGCAGCCCCAATGTTCTCAGTCTGGAATGACACCTGAGAGATGGCCCAGGATATATTGGTAGCAACAGGATATTCTTCAATGGCTACTGAATCATGTCACTCAGAACTAAGAGAGCAGACAACAAGCAAGAGCTGATCACATTCAGCAATTAATGATTTAGAGCATTCTTAAATTGTGCAGGATAAATATTTCTCATGTTGACTAACTGCTGATGCTGTAGGAAACAGGATAAACTAATTTCCAAGCAGTTAATGAGACTTCCATTTAATTTTGCAATGTATTGTAGAACTATGAGTCATATTTACAACAAAAATAGTGTATTGTAGTAATCCTTGTGTGTACATAGTATTCTTGTTATGTCGCAATAGGGATGAATTCATTCATATTGCAAAGCAGCATTAAAGCAGTGCTCTCTTCCTACTAACAAGTTATTGAAATCTGGGAAAAAGTAAGATTTTAGTGGCTAGTTGTGTAGTCTTAGTATGTGTGAAAATTGTAGATTTTTAAAATCCAGAACCATAGCCATTCCAAAGGTCGAAATATAAAGTTTAAGTGTTCAAAAATAGATGACTTGTTTCAAATTTGCTTTTATTTTCTTTAATATTAATATTCGAAAACATCCTTATCCCAGGGAATACAGCTGCTTTCTGTAATTGTCATGTAGACTTGGAAACCTGCTTAGCTTGATTTCTATGTGGAGCAGCATTACATCACTATGAAATGTTCACTTGGTTATACGACTGTGATTATCAAATAATGGCCAGCAAAAGCAACCCTTTTAAAAGAAGTCCAGTTTACAAGACTATGAAGGTCATTACAGAAAACTTTAGGCTTGTAGAAAAACAGCACAGAGATGCCATCTAGCAGTGACTCTTAGAAGTTTCCTCATATTTAATAGCGCCTTTTTTCAAGATACTGCACTTAAGGAAAGACTTTTTATTCCAAGTCCTTTCCCTGTATATCCCTTCCTGCTGAATATGTAGTCACACTGCTGGAAAGAAATCAGATTAGCATGAATGTTTTCTTGTATTTTTCTATGTAAATACAGAGGAAAATAAGAATCAAATAGATACAACATTTAATAAGTATCTTAAAATTGATAGTCTGTAATGAGCACTAAATGTTTAATCAACAGTGAGATGTCTTCCCTTTGTTAAAGAGGAGTTTCCAGAGCTGGTCAATATTCTCCATAATGTTTAGCAGAAAAAATACCCCAAACCATAAAAAAATCACAAACAAACCAACCCAAATAATTGGCAACAAATTACTATGCTGAAAATCAAATATTAATATTCTAGAATTTAACAATAAACTATTTCTATTTTTTTGTTACATTTTTGTTACATATTTTACTATAAGATGGCAATACTTAAACACTTTACTATCGGTAAATAACTTAGTAAGTATAGCATAAAAGACCGGCCATAATAAAAATGTCTGTGAACAAGTCAGTGACGGCCTGGCACTAATTCAAAGCTTTACCCCCAAACCCTCAGCATTATTTTAAAGTAGTTGATCAGTAAAATGCGTTATTCCTTGAATATAAATTCCATAGGACATGAATGGATACTCTGAAATGTTGGATGTGATCTAGTTTCTTAAGGTGAATGGTTTGTGAGTGTCAAGGGCATTTAAAAAAGTTGGCTGTCTAGTCATGAGCATATTGCAGAATTATGTTTGGAAAAGAAATAATTTAACATCTCCTTGTTTCCTAAAATTAATTCCAAATGATATATTTGCTTTCCAACCTCAGGGCAGAAAATTATCATTCCATTTCAATTTAGCATAAAGCAAGATAAATAACTGAGCACTACTTCCATTTGTAAAGTGAGATTTCAGCCACAACTTGTACTTATTTGCTAAAAAAAAAAAACAAAAAATTACAACAAAAAAAAAAACAAGCCAAAACCAAACCCTGTAAATATTTTAGATATATTTCACAGAAATTCGAAAACTGTTGTCCATAGTCAACAAAACTAGATTCTGTGTCATGTGGCATCTTTTTTACACTTAATCTGCTGTAGTATCTTAACCAAGGATCTGAGTAACCATCTGATCTTGTGGTTTTTATTTATGAAAAGCTAATTTAGCTCTGATAAAAAAACAGGCTTATGTTAAGGGCTCTTAGTTTTATGTAATCTTAAGGACTTCTGAGCTTTCTGGCTCATGTCCCCGTGACAAAGTGAAAAGAGCCTGCAACGAACATTTTCATATCCCTGAAAATGCCACACAGGGTAATGAATAAAAGGCGATTTTTATGTCCTCTGCACAGCATGCCACAGCAAAAAGAGCTAGAAGCAAAGTTTCAAAAGTTAATTCATGCCATTTCATTGCAGTGGCTCATCCTGCTATTCAGTGCTGGATGGTGACAGACACATAAAATGGAGCATTTCTCCCCACTGTTATTTTGGGGCATAACTCTGCCACCTGAACTAACAGAATAATCCTGCCACCTGGAGCTGATTTGCTTTATTAGTGGTTTTACACTGTGTGTGTACACAGATTTTGCATTTTCTGCTTTCACAGTCTCCTTAAGTCTCTTCCATTTAACAGATCTCGCAAAGTGTAAGAGAAGATAAAAAGAAATAAAGAAAAAGGAGTGTGTCAAAACCCGTGATTATAACATTTAGGCACGTGCTGCTGTCCACACAGATGTGGAACTCCTGTGTGTTGCCTGATGAGTCTGTTTACAGATGTAGCAATAGCTGATGCTTGTAGGTAGCTCCTACTTAGTAACACTGATACAATTAGTTAGCTAACATTATTAACCCTGTATCACTCCTGCTTGTTTGTTACTGTATCGTACTGATTAAAAAGCAGACAGAATACTGCAGCCATAAATCAGATTTCCACTGAACTGCTTTTGAAATTCTATCCTTACATTTTTAAAAAAGGAACACCCCTCCCATACTGTTGGGAATTCAGTATATATTTGTACATCTATGTGATTAATGTCTTTATTTTAAAGGAAAAAATAACTGCCAGAAGAGCAGTTGTCATACGGTTGTCTGGTACCTAAATGATATCATTAAAATGACATTCACCAACATACAATACAAATTGTGGCCACACAGCATGGAATACTGCTGGTAATGGTCTGCAATACTCTACGCATGTTCCCTCTCTCGTTACTTTCTTTTAACGTTCATAGTTAGCAGGATTGCCCGGCACACAAAGACAAATGAGACAAGTTCTGCTCCTACAAGATGCAGCACTACAGACATCTGCAGGCCTGGGGGGGGTTCAGTCATTATTGCTCTGAGGTGGTACAGTGCAACTCTGCATCTTTTAAAACGATTTCATCTAAAATTACCTTCACAAGCCAGGCTGCATGGCTAAAACATGCCGTTTACTTATTTCAGTATCACATGTGATTTTAATGTCCTGCACGCATTGGAAGATAATGGACCTCTGCAGAGCCCAGAGTAGTGTTAAACGCAGGCTCTTCACCTAGTGCCTCCGGTTCCACTCTAAACACATTTCTTCCCAGCCGGCGACTGCCGATCCCTGTTTCCAGAGCCTGGCTGCTTCCTCGGAAGTGGTGCAGTCATCGCGCACTATAAACGCCTCTTTGAACCGGAGAACGCGCTGCTCCGTTCAGCCGGGCCCCGCCGCCCCGCTCCTCTCCCGACAACTGATGTAACTTGTGCGCGCAGCAATGCCGGGTGGTCGTCATGGGGAGATCAGGGCGGCCGGTGCTCAGTGAGCGGGTGTCTTGGGCCCGACTGAAGCGAGCCCGCGGCCGCGGAGCCCTTCCAACCGCGCTTCCCCGCCTCGCACAGGGCACCCGGCAATCCCGAGACCACCGTATCCGTCACGAACTCTCCCGCCCCTCCGATCGGACAACCAAGGACGCGCACCCGCCTCTCCCCGCAGCTATACAGCCGCCCCGCGGCGCCCGGGCGGCTCCTACCTTGGACGGATCGAGGCCGGCCAGCAAGGACAGCAGCAGGAGGTTGACGATGTTGGCGGGCGTCCGCATCCTGACCCCAGGGCTGCTTCTCCGCACCGCCCCTCTCTGTCATTCACTCCGCACCCGCTGCGGCGATCGTGCCGGCAGTCGCGCCTTGCGCCCGCGCTCCTGCCCGCCCGCCAGAGTGGAGGCTGCAGCAGCGGCCGCCCGGGGGACGCTCATTCCGCGGGCGGCCTCGCTGCGAGGAGGGCGGGCGAGGACGGCGCTGCCCGTACTGCCGAAGCAGCTCCGCGGCCGCAGCCCGGCCCCGCCCCCGGCCAGCCCACCGGCGAAGTTTGGGCCCGGGAAATGAGTCGTGAGCGCGGCTGGGCTGGGCTCGGCTCATTTCCCGTGGCAGTGGGTAGGGGAAGCTCTTCCTTCTGCGGAAGGAGCGCGGAGCCGGGCTCTCCCGGCACCATGGCATCGGGAGAGGGGTGAGGGCTGGCTCCTGTGAGGAGCTGCGGGTGTCGCTTGCTGGTGTCGCAGCGGGGTTTCCTCTGGGGGATCCCGCCCCTACACTACCCCACCGGGAAAGGCTTACCTGAACTGTTGAGCGGGGAGCCACCACTGCTGTCCAGTTGGACCATGGACCAGCAAGTGACCATCGCATCCCCTTACTTTGGAAGGTGAGCTGTGGTGGGAAGGCTTATATAAGTGAAGGCTGGTGGAGGTCGCTGGTTGAGAAGTTCTTTGGAAGCCCTCCTACGGACATGTTGTACTTCTCCCAGGGAATAAGAGATAGAACAAGAGGAAACGGCCTCAAGCTGCACCAGGGGAGGTTTAGACGGAGCTGAGGAACAATTCCTTCCCCAGAGGGTGCTCAGGCATTGGAACAGGCTGCCCAGGGCAGGGCTGGAGTCACCGTCCCTGCAAGTGTTCACACACCATGGAGAAAAGGCCTCGGTGGCATGGGTTAGGGTTGGCCTTGGCAGTGCTGGGGAATGGCTGGACTTGATGAGCTTAAAGATCTTTTCCAACTCCACCGATTCCATGATTTTATGCCATCGGGAATTTCCTTTTCTCTGTATCAGCTAGCACCATTTGTAGTCAGTGCTGGTTTGCCAGTCAAGGCTCTGGGTGGGCTCCTGTCTATCTATGCAGTGGCTCATAGTCACTTTTCCGCAATTCCCGAAGAGGAAGTACAGGCAGGGATGCGATATGGTTTCCTGCAGGTTCCATGTTGAGCACAGCTGAGTATGGCCCAGATGTAAATCACACAATAGCACCATCCTGTTAGCATGGGCACAGTAGAGTAAAGTTTCAATTATTTTTCCTTACAAGACTCAAAAGCGTGATCTATGGTTAGGGTAACCTTAGTTATAACCTTATAAATAAGACTATTATAAATGAGGGGTTTTCTCAGTTTTGCATAGTAGAATGTATTAGCCTTACAGTTAGCAACCTTTTGGTCATGATTAAATTTTCTGGGGGTCTACATTATATACTTTTTCAGCAGCTGGCACAGAAAGGACAGTGCTGTTATAGTGTTATGTGATTTCAACAAAAAGAAAGCAAAACTTCAGTGTAAAAAAAACACGACCACAAACAAAAAAAAAGAAAGACAGAAAAGCCCAACAACAAAAACCCAGAAAACCAAAAATTTAAGCTTGGGAGGGTGTGTTAGTTGAGGGTCTATTGGGATATGTATGGACAGGGCATGGTTTTCTAATTTACTGTCCAAGTCTAAAGGATTGGTGGGTTTTGTCTTCAGGAATTAAGGCAAAGAGAGCAGAAACTGTTCTGCCCGTGTGGTGTCTCAAGACATTGCATATCCTTGGTATAATGTTGCCAGTTAAAAAAAATGGCAATTTTCCTGCAATGGTTTGTTATATTTTTGCATTCTGAATTCTTATAACATTAAAATAACCACTTTTTTTTTCCTCAATTGATCTTTTATGCTATGCTGACTTAGAGAAACCCTATTTCAGCCAGCAGTGTCTTGGAGGAAGATACAGTCTTTCATTTCTGTAGAAGGTAGATCTACAAAGTGTGGTTCCTTATGGCAAGAAAAGCAAATGATAGGATATATGAATGTGCTTCCATTGACATTCCAGGGTCTACAATGGAAAGAGAATCTCCTCTGATACTGCCTCTATTGAATTTCCTTTTGCAAGGAAAATATAAAAGAAATATAAAGGAGACTCGTTATTTCTTTTGGTTTTTTTCACTCCTGTAGGAAAGATATAAAAGGTCTGTTTTTCTATGAAATAACAATAAAAGAATATAAAAATGGACAGCTGCATGTATTAATATGGATTCAACAATAAGTAAAGTAATGGTACCAAAGCACTAAAAATCTGAGGTCTTCTAAAGGCCAAAGTGAATGGTGTTTTCAAACAAAGCGATTTCTTATGAAAAAAAAAAAAGTACATAGATTCTAAAGCCACAAAGTCAGTGATGAAAGTATTTAGACCTTTTCTAGAGTATTCTTTTCTAGAGTGGCTTGTTCTCTTCTTTGCCTTACCTTTATTTTCCTCACACTTTTCTCACCTTTCCTTTTTTCAGTCTATCGTAGATATATTTGGCAAAACATATGAACAATGTTGAATTACTCATAGAATGCAACCTTGTTGAAGAGCTTCAGTGATGTAATGTGTTTTTCCATTCCCTGATGCTGCTTTGAGTAACTGTTGAACTGTCTTTGAAAACAGTTTGGAGTTGCTATTTATGTTAGGGATAGGCTGGAGAGTATGGAACTCTCTCTGGGGACAGGTGAGCAGTCAGCAGAGAGTTTGTGGGTCAGGGTTAAAGGGAGAACAGCAATGGGAGACATTACTGTGGGGATCTGTTACAGACGGCCTGATCAAGGAGAACCTGTGGATGAAGCGCTCTACAGACAGATAGGAACAGTCTCACTCTCGCAGGCCCTTGTTCTCATGGGGGACTTCAACCACCTTGATATCTGTTGGAGCTATGGTACGGCCCGGCACAAGCAATCCAGGAGGTTCCTTCATTGTGTGGAAGACAACTTCCTTCTGCAAGTAATAGAGGAGCCGACAAGGAGAGGTGCCATGCTTGACCTCGTGCTCACCAGCAGGGAAGGGCTCGTTGGACATGTGACGCTCCAGGGCACCCTCAGTTACTATGATCATGAGATGGTCAAGTTCGAGATCCCTAGGACAGTGAGAAGAGTGTGCAGCAAGCTCACTGCCCTGGACTTCGAGAGAGCAGACTTTGGCTTCTTCAGGAACCTGCTTAGTAAGGTTCCATGGGATGTAGCCCTAGAGGGCAGGGGGACGGGCCCAAGTCTGTGGGTTTGTTTCCAAGGATCACCTGCTACAAGCTCAGGAGTGTTGCATCCCAACTAGAAGGAAGTGCAGCAGGACGGCCATGAGACATCCTTGGATGGATAAGGAGCTCCTGAGGAAAAATTGAAGGAAAAAAGAGGCTTATAAAAGGTGGAAGCAAGGACAGGTGGCATGGGAAGAGTACAGGGATGTTGTCCAGGAATCTAGGGACCAGGTTAGGGAAGCTAAGACCCAGTTAGAATTAAACTTGGCTAAGGGTATTTAAGGATAACAAGAAGGGATTCTATAGGTACGTAGAGAATAGAAGACAGACTAGGGACAATGTAAGCCCCCTCTGGAAGCTCTCAGGAGAACTGGCTACCCTGGATTTGGAGAAGGTTGAGGTTCTTAATGACTTATTTACCTTGGTCTTCACTGGCAAAGGCTCTGACTGCACCACCCAAGTCTTGAAAGGCAGACACGTGGACTGTGAGAATGAAGACCCCAGGCCCATGTTGGTGACATGTACAGTGGGATCGAGTGCACCCTCAGCAAGTTTGCTGATGACACCAAGCTGTGTGGTTGGTTGATACCCTGGAGGGAAGGAATGCCATCCAGAGGGACCTTGAAACGCTTGTGAGGTGGGCTGATGCCAGCCTCATGAAGTTTAACCATGCCAAGCGCAAGGTCCTACGCCTGGGTCGGAGCAATCCCAGGCACAGCTACAGGTTGGGCAGGGAAGAGATTCAGAGCAGCCCTGCGGAGAAGGACTTGGGGGTGTTGGTCGATGAGAAAATGAACATGAGCTGGCTTCAGTGTGTGCTTGCAGCCCAGAAAGCAACCGTATCCTGGGCTGCATCAAAAGGAGTGTGACCAGCAGGTCGAAGGAGGTGAATCCTGCCCCTCTGCTCTCGTGAGACCTCACTTGGAGTATTGTGTGCAGTTCTGGTGTCCTCAACATAAAAAGGACATGGAACTGTTGGAACAAGTCCAGAGGAGGCCACGAGGATGATCGTGGGACTGGAGCACCTCCTGTGTGAAGACAGGCTGAGAAAGTTGGGGCAGTTCATCCTGGAGAAAAGAAGTCTCGTGGAAACCCCGTAGCAGCCTTCCAGTATCTGAAGGGGCGCTACAGGGATTTTGGGATGAACTATTCATTAGGGACTGTAGTGACCGGACAAAATGTAATGGGTTAAAACTGAAACAGGTTAGATCTAAGGCAGAAGTTCTTTACTGTAAGGGTGGTGAGGCATTGGAATGGGTTGCCCAGGGAAGTTGTGAATGCTTCATCCCTGGCGGCATCCAAGGCCAGGTTGGACAAAGCCTTGGGTGGCATGGTTTAGTGTGAGGTGTCCCTGTCCATGGCAAGAGAGTTGGAGCTGGATGATCTTAAGGTCCTTTCCAACCCTAACTATTCTATGATTCTATGATTCTATAACAGTGAAATATTGAACAGTAAAGTTAGAAATAGAAAAAATGGTTCCCAGGCTCCTGAAGAAAGTGAGACTTCAGCTCTCCTGAATTCAGACACTTCTTTCTGTGTGTTATAAACTAAATAATTTGATATATGGAAAGGTACGAAAATGAGTTTCAAAAGGATGGCATAAAGTGACCCAATTCTATTCTATTCTCCTTGATTTTAACTATCCATTAAGAATAAAATATGCAGTAGGCTTATTCTCCCACCCTCTAGCAACCCAAGAAATCTTTTTTTTTTTGGTCAGAAAAGGCTATCTGAAGAGTGGTGAAAATCACTAGCAATTAAGACCAGAAATAATGAATTTTTTTAAATGTATCTGAAAAAAAATTAAACAAAATCCAAGCCCATATGAGAAGTTCTTATTTCTGTTGCATACCTCAAAGTGACAAGGGAATAACCGTTTCTGAAGATCTCTCTCTAAAAAAGCTTTTAATCATCCTTCAACCTGGAAATTCCACATAAATTACATTTCTTCTTGAATTCTTTGTGTGGAGATGGCTGCAGTCAGGGTAAAATACTCGGTCATGAGAGGGGGGA